GTTCTTTACCAGAGTTTGCTATTTCGTTTTATTATGAAATGTATCTTGAGACACAAATGTCTAGAAATAATATAAGGAGCCTCTTCATCTCCCTGTTTGCTCTAGATACTTTTTTCTTTCGTAGAAAGGAAACATTGTATCTCTTTCTGCATTACCTTTCCCCATCAGATTTTTTTGTTTGTGTTTTGAAAAATGATGGATAGTTACGGGTATGATTGACACCTGCAATTCTTCCCTCTCCGCCTTATGTGAGGTAGCCATGGCTGAGCTGACTGCTGCCAGTCTCACACCATTTCTTGTACCACATCCAGAGATGTCCATGAAAAAGAAATGGTTCTATTTTGTGGCTTTATACTTTGAATAGCTTATGTAAAATGCAGATGTATTCTATAACCCGCTTTTCTTGATAACTACTGTTTTGTTTGTTTTTAGGATTTGTTCATGTTGATAATCTGCCAGTGTGAGTTCTCCATTTTCTGCTCTTAAGAATGTGTTGAGAGTCTGTTCTTTCTTATTTGAAAATAAATGCAGAACGCTCTGCCTTAGGACTCTGTATAGTAGCTCAATTCATGTCCCTCTAATTCTAGTATTTAGCAAACTGAGTTTTTTTTCCTGAGTATTGATTTTGCCATTATTACTAATCAGTTTTGTCTATTCCATCATTATTCTATGTTTCTAGAGGTTACTTAGGTAGGAGTTTTAGTTTTTGGAGATAACATTTTTTTGGGTGGGGACTACCCTTGAAATTCTTAAATTCTAGTTCAGTTACCCTTTGGTCAGGGGCAGGCTAGTTATGTCCCAAGCAGTACTTTTGGTGGCATTTTAGGACTGTTAGACAGAAGTTAAAGAACAGGCCTAGGAAAGATGTGGTAAACACTTAGGAATATCTTATGCTTTGGGATGGGACCATAAACATGCATCATCCCAAGAGTAAATGTGAACTGTAAGCAGTGAGCTGTACCTATATCTAATGTGTATAAATCAAGCTTATGGACATGGTAGATGAGGAGGCAGGTACCACAACAAAAAGATGTGATTGCATAAGACATTTCTTATAATGTCAACCAATAGGCAGCACTAACTTCTAGAGTACATACTTGTCATACTAAAACTAAAGGAAATCAAAGAAAGATCAGAAGACTCATTCCTTAACTGGGAAGGGTAATGATTGCCTAGGAGTCCCTCCGAGTGGGATTGGGGGGGGGGTGCAGAAGGTAATGACCCAAATAGTTACATGGTTTTCTTCCATCTTTTAAAAATGTTAATTTTTTATGCTGTACATTTAGTCCATGTTTTTTTTTAAATTTTATTCACCATAATTTAAAGAGAATAATTCTAGTGGAATGGATAAATGTGTTTATTTTTGATAAAAGAATATTACAAAAATATGTATACCACTCAACATTTTTAGACATTCCATTTATGTATAGTAACACCCAAATCCATATTCTTTGGGCACAGAATGAAAACACAGGCAGGCTGTAGACTAGATGGCTGTCGGCAGTGGAATCTGGATTTTACAGAATATGCTCTTTGTAAGTGAGAAACTCTTCATTAAATATTGTTTTATAAGATTAACACCTTAGAAAGTGTTTTCATCATTGATACTTGAGATGTTAATGTATGAGATGGAAATAATATTTGAGTAAAAGACATGTGAAGTCTGATAGAAACACCCGAGGCAGTAGTGGTAGTTAATATGTACCTTAGCTGTAGAGAGGATAATGGAAAGTACTTAACAGTCTTCTTACCCGGACTGTTTCCTGACATCAATAGTTCCTTTATCTTTCAACACAAAAAGAAAAGTCTATTTCATGCAGCTAATTAAAGGAAAACTGCAATTTGATTTTTAAGAAGGGAAGATTATCTAAAACCATTTAATTTGGTCAAAACATTTGGCCTCTTGTGGCTTCAATTTTCTATCAAAAAAGCAACATGTTCCACCTTTCAAGGTGGTTTGTAGTATAATACAACCTCATAAATGCTTGAGCATAGGTATTAGCTTTTCTCAGAACTGTTAGGAAGGCACAAGTATCATGGGAATTAAGAATTTAGGTTCTGGAAATGGATGTGAATGTTTATTCACCACTTTATCTAGATGCTTAGTTGTGTGTTTTAAACTAATGTTTCTTCCTACATTTCTTCATCCTTACAATAAGGATGTTAGTATGGTAGGTGAGGTTGGAGGGTAGTGGAGGATAGTGAGTTGAGTTCCCAGAACAGGACATGAGACTGCCTGGACTTTACTCATCCCATGGTGTGAATTACATGTGGGAAACTGCCTGTGGAGAAACATGTTTGAAATATAAAAATACTTGGAGGCTCCAATTGATGGAGGTTCCATAGCCCTTTGCCTTTTGCTGCAGGAGGTGTTCTAGTCACTGCCCCACGATTTGCCCTCTTGCAGGGTACTCCATAAGCTGTCACTCTTACTCTGGCCTACAGAGTGAATTCTTCACCACCTGCCCATCCCTTTCTGCTACCAAGTGACTGGCCAGTAGTCCACTACACAATTTGATGCTATACCTTCACAATTCTGTGACTGCTGGCCTTATCCCCTCTCAGCATCATCACCCGAAGAAAGTGCAGAAGACACTGACTGGTATCTGTGCTTTGGTTGCACCAAGGCTCCTTTTCTGGTTTTCATCATGGGGCACTTGTTTAGGTCCTTGCTTTGGTAGATCAACACATACTATAATAGAGGCTTGACCAGCAAATTATTTAGCAGAGATCCTTTATTTTTCTGCAGCTTTATTTTGTTGAGTAAAACCAAAGCATTCTGGGAGCCAGTCTTCCTTGTTGGTATAACACAAGTTGTGTTCTGGTTTTGGGTTTAGTCAGCCTTTTTTTTCCCCTACAGTGTTTGTGGGTGGGACTCTTCTAGCTTCCTTTTCACAGAGAAACTTAGTTATTCCATTAGTCTCTGTCCATGGTTTTAGCTGAACAGAACTGAACAGTCTAAAGATATTCTCTAGCTAAATACATGATCTCATCCTACAGTACTCTTAAGTCCTGACCAGACTCACTTGGAACTGTTTATTCATTTTACTTTCTTTCTTTCTTTTTTTTTTTTAGACAGAGTTTCTGGATGTACTCCTGGCCATCCTGGAACTCACTCTGTAGACCGGCTGACCTCAAACTCAGAGATCTGCCTGCCTCTACATCCCAAGTGCTGGCATCTTTTGTCTTTCCAGCCAGTGCTTCTACCATACTTTTTGAAACCTAGACGTGTACCTTCTGTGTACTGCAAAATGCTTAATAACATCAATCTATTTTGTACTGTGATGAGAGGTCTCTTAATCGTACATAGATATGACACATTTTACTTTTTAAAGTAGTTTATACATATTGGACCTTCATTTTGACATCTTTTTCAGAAGCTTGTATCAGTAACCCCTGCCAAGGCATGTGATTTGCATGCTAAGTTCAAGCAAGCCAAACATACATAAACATACACATAATTAGTTTTTTAAAAGATGGCTTCCAACTTCAAAAGGAAATTGAAAAAAATGGATAATGAATTTATAATTGTTTCTGTCATTACTCAGTACTCTTTGACATATTGAAGAAGTTCTTTAATTAAGAATCCACATCCCCAATCTGCCTCTGTTTCTCTTTTCTGTCTTTCTTTCTCTTCCTGGTCCCCCTCCCCCAAGATAAAGTTTCGATCTGTAGCCCAGACTGGTCTGCTACTTGCTATATAGACGTCAAACTTGAAACAATCCTCCTGCCTCAGTTTCCAAAGTACTAGGATTATGTTATTAAAATTATTTTTATATGTATTCATGTTGAATATGAATGTATGCATACATGTATGGGTGCATGCGTGCCATGACACACGTGGAGACCAGAGGACAACTTGCAGGGCTTTCTTTCCCATGTGAGTCCTAGGAATTGAATTCAGGTTGTCAGTACCTTTAGTCACCAAGCCATCTTGCTGACTCTGTGGGGCTTTGCTTGTTTTTTTGTTTTTGTTTTAAACCTCCTTATATAATTTGGTCCTGGTAGAGAGGGTCAGACACCAAACCCATGATGGTTTCCAGAAGCTGCAGGCACTGGCTGGGAGCAGGCAAATATGGAGATCTTTTATATCAAACTCTCTGAATTGCTGATACACTTGGGAGGTTTTATTCATAAACAAATAAAAAATAATGTTCACAGAGTGTTGGCATACCGTGAAAGTCAAATTATTTAAAGTGCAGTCTCTCTAGTTTGCATTTACTAGAAGACTATATCAGAACTAGTCATTTTCAATGGTGGATGTATCTATCCACCAAGGGCAATCGGAAGGCAGCAGTAGATGCCGGTGGCATTTGGAAAAAGAAACATTTTGTTCCATCTCTAAAAGGGACAATTGCAGGAGCAAACTCCCTGTTTCAGAAGGTTTTCCCACCAGGTCCCTTAACTACTGGGTGGTTGGTGGTGTGACATCCTGGTGAACTGTAGTCTTTGGGAGTGAAGCCTTTTGCAGACAGCCACTTCCTGCTGCCTTCCCTTCTGTTTTCAGAGCTTGCCAGTAGGTGAGAATGTTCCCTTGGCCTCTGTGTTACCAACCTCTGATAAAGACCAGGGTTTCCCCAACGAAACTGGGACAGCCAACAAGATAAACCTGGGAATGCTGTCACTCAGTGAAGTATGCTCCCTACTGTTTCCAAGAGTAGCTCATTTGTTTGTGGCAAGAAACCTTTTTCTTGTCTTTTGTAGTAGAAACCCTGTTTTATACTACAGATATGATGCAGCCATCCTGAGGTTGCCGAGAATCCCAATACTATGCTTCCTGCATCAGGACCGGTTCTTTCTCCCCATCTTCTCTTCCTCTCTCCTTGACCTCGCAGCAGGAAGCCTTTGTGTGAGGTTCTCATCTGGAACAACTTCTCCACACTTGTTTTCGTGTTCTGTTGGATTACAGGGCAGCGGGCCTACCTTTGAAGGTCCTTTCTCTTTTCTTTCTTTGCTGTGCACTCCAGTAATTAACTTTGTCCTTCTTTTATTTGTTCCAGTCAATCGCAGGCCACTCTGCTGAGCATCTTCTCCCAGGAGTACCAGGTTAGAAGTTTTCTCCTTTGTGAGGGTTGACAGGTGCCTAATTGAATGATGAATGTCCCTTTATTTCTTTGTAATTGAACTGCCAGCTCTCTGATTGGGTTGGAGGATGTTCCCCTTTCCACATCAAGCGCCGCCTGCGTCTCAGTGGAGGCCTGCCAAGCCTACCCATCCATCTGTCTAATAACATCTAGCCTTTGCTTATTTGGTGGACCTGTAATAAATTATGCTAAACCATTATTATTCTGACAATAATAATTTCCCTGTGTTGCGTGGCTCCATGTGCTAAATGTTTGCTGACTTGCACTGTCAGTGCTGCTTCCCATTGCTGACAGAGATGATGATAAATGACCACTGCTGGAGTGGCAGAAGGCAAGAGAGGCAGAAAATGGAGTCATTTATCATGAGATGACAGGTGTCAGTCAAGTGGCAAGTCTCTATGGAATTACTTTTTGTAGTTTTCAAATAAGTTGTTTTTAAGCAATGTTCTTCCTGGTTAAATATGGCAATTGGATTGTAAAACCCGAGTGCAGAGGACTTAGATGGAATTGAATCGAGGGAAAATTAATACAAAGGTTGAAAGAGGGAACAAGTCTTTCTTTGCCCTCTGCAGCCCTAAGCAAACTTATTTAGATTCAATTATTATGACCCTGGTGGCTTTTACATATATACTGTACTTGTGGTACAGTCTGAAGACATTCCAGCCAAGCAGGAGATTAAAATGCATAGATGTAGTACCAGTAAAGGAAATCCTGCTACTACCCCCCACTCTAGTCCCCAAGCCATTACCCATTTGCCCCGTATGCTTGCCGCTGGGATGAAGAAATATGTCTTTGCTGTTCTTGAACCTGATATGTGACACAATATTAAGATTTTTTTGTGTGTGTTTTGTTTCAGAAACATATTAAAAGAACACATGCCAAACATCACACTCCAGAAGCGATTGAAAGTTATTACCAGAGGTATGACCTGCCTGCCCCACTAGAGGGTATCACAGTACCTATTAATTGTGGCAATTATTATGAATAAATTGGATCATTAAATTGACTTTCTATACAATTTTAAGACTGTTATTGAAAACTTTTGGTGTATTTAGCAGTAAGTTTTTAAGAGCTTTCTTTGGCATGCATGAAGAATATGGTAACAATATCAATTTAGGTGTGTACGCATGTCCTATATGAGATGAATTCAGTTATTACTGAATCTTACTTGGCTACTTGAAATGTGATATAAGTCACATCTTGTATCGATGTATACATTGACATATGCATATGTCCCACATGTATATCAGCACGTTTTCATTCATTTCTTATTCAGATCAGCAAGCTGAAAAAAAGAAATTGAAATGTAATATAGTATTTTGCCCCCTATTCGCTGGGTTAGCCATTTTAGGTATTTAAGGAAGACCTTCATCAAATAAGCACTTTATACAACTATCATCTTTTAATGAGGACTTCTCTGTTTTTGAAGAAAATGTTGAGTGTTCAACAGCATAGTGTTCAGAGAATATTTAAATTTCAGCTTTATTATTCTAAGATGAACAGAACATTCAAAGTAGTTCTGATTTTCTTAATTCTGACATTCGTTATCTTCATTTTGATGTCTGAATAAATAACAATAAATGGTAATGATGACATACCTAATTTTTGTTGTCATTCTACTGTTGATGGACAACTAGGTTGGTTCATTTTGCTTGCTATAGTGAATAGAGCAGTAGTATACAAGGGGTTCAGATATCCCTATGGTAGTGTCTGGAGCTTCTGGGTCTGGACCCAGGAGTTAAAGAGGTGAGTCATATGGTGGTTCTGTTTGAAAAGTTTTGAGAAATATCCAAATTGATTTCCACATTGACTGTATTAATTTGCCCCCTTTCAACAGTTGAGTAAGTATTCTTTTCTCTCTACCAGATTTGTAGATGAGAAACATTGTGACAGAGTGAGTTGGTATCTGATAGGTCATCAAACTGTACAGATTTTGGGGTCTGGCTAATTTGGGTGTGTGGTATTTCTTTATCTATTTCCAAGTATTTGAACAATAAAGTTTCTAAAAATTTAAAAAGAGAATTGAGGTTTAGAGAAGCTATTGAAATTGGATTTTCTTTTAGAAAGCCATTCACTCTGACACGTGATAAAAGATCCTTTTTGTCTTGTGTAGTTAAAGATGTTTACAATGTGTAGATGACCCCCCCATACACTGTGTATAGAATTCTTCTCTATACAAGTCTTTGTACAGTTTAAGGAAAGTCAGAGATACCTTGGTGAAATTTATATTTAAGTTCTATGGGACCTACAGTAGTTCTACAGGACCTATAAATGCTTTGGCTTGTAGATAATAACAAAATTGTAATGTTAAATGTTATTTTTTTACATGCAAAGAAATAATTGTTTGTTTTGAGACAGATTGTTATTATACAACCTAGGTTGGTCTCTGACTTGGCAATTCACCTGCCTCAGACTATGCTTATCGACATGTACCACTACATCTGTATAAAATGTATCTATGTAAACTTCATAGTCCTAGGCTGTCAGATGGAATCAGGGCCATGCTAAGATGTAGAGCCTTGTGTGGTGAAAGAGGAGAGCAGCATTGGAGAGTGGTATGTACTGTGGTCGGGGAAATGTGAGGCTTGATGAATAGTGACAGGGCTGCTCTCACACTCGTTTGCCTCACTGTAAAGATTCCTGAAATTAAATCAATTCAAAACCATCTACGTTCAAAAGCTAGCTTAATCAAAAGTGTTTGTGTGTATCTCTCTATCTATCTATCTATCTATCTATCTATCTATCTATCTATCTATCTATCTATTATCTATCTATCTATCTATATGTGTATATATGTATATATGTGTGTATGTATATATGTATATATGTGAGTTTGTATATACATATAAACACACACATGTATACACACACACACACACACACACACACACACACACACACACACACGCTAAGCCTAGTGGCACAAGCTTGTAATTCCAACTTTAGGGGTGCCCAGGCATGAGAATCTCAGGTACACAACCAGAGTCAGTAATTTTGTGAGATCTTTTCTCATAATTAAAAAAAAAAAAAAGAGGGCTTGGTTTGCAGTAGGGTGTAGACCATGTGCTTTGCTTGTGCAAGGATATAGGTTCAATCCCCAGCACTGAAAAAGAAATGTCCAAGTAATTACTGATAAGTGAACTTTTTTCTATTATCTGGATGGTTTTATTTTAAAATAATAGAAAAAAATTAATAGTTACCAAATAATGAACAGTGAGTAATTACTAGAGTGAGTGGTCATAAGGTTATAAAAATAATGTCTTTTTAAATATTAAAGTCTCAGTTATGGTAAGGCATTAAAATTGAAATAAAAGCAGAACGGAGGCTGTAATTGAGACTCAGCGGAAAGCCCCCTCACCACCCAGTGTCTGTACCCACTGGCTGTTTCTTCTGTGTGTGTCTGTGGGAGCCAGCCACATTCTCACCTTCCAGGCAGACCAGCCTCACCAGCCTGTTGTTGGAAACATACAGGTCAAATGTCCTGGGTTTTGCCAAGGTAAATTGAATTTAAAAGGTTCATGTTTGTTTTTTAGGATTTTTAGAATAAAGGCAATGTGTGTTTTAGCCACACATATTTAAGCGATGGAAAAATGTTCATAGCAACTTATTTAATTTTTTTCCTTTATAAAAGTAATACCACTTGCTGTGAAAATTAAGGCCATTTGTGATGGCACAGAAAGGAATGAATGATTGCCCATAATTGTGCCACTCAGAGATAACTACTGGTTAAAGTTTCTTCCCTGCCTTCTGACAGCCCGTTCTTACATAGACAAGGTCATATGCAACTATGGATCCTGGATGTTTTGAGTGGAAAAATGTATGTGAGATAATATTAATTTGTAAAAAGCCTTTTCTTTTATTAGTTGCCTTACTTCATCGTATAAAAGACTGAATTTCTGAGGTTATTCCTTTGAGGACCAAGTATGTCCCCAGTGTCTTGATACTGTAAATAATACTGTGGTAAACATCGTGATGCTTGACTCATCGGCACTGGTTGATTTCTGTGTATGTAATTACTGGTGCAAACAATGTGGACATTTAGAAATTGATTATATGTTGCTAAATTACTGTCTAGAAGCGTCTTGGTGATATTCCTGCTGGCAGTATGAGAACCTCTGAATCCACATTCTAGTTACCACTGAGATTATGTCAGTTGGGCATTCAGAGTCAGTGGTTTCCATGAGAGCCCCATGATTCACTAAAACTTCATAGGGTCAGGACAACAGTAGAAAGTGTGTTCCTGGGCTTTTGCCTTGGTGGGGAAATCTTCTCAGTGGGATATTTACAGACAGTGTTCACTTGGAAACAGTTCTCTATCCCATTGCACTGTGCTATTCTATTCCAATACAGGACCATATGTGGTGAAATTTATCTTGAGTTTTCCAAATGACTTTTGTGTGCACATGGTTGGGTTGCTGCGTTCAAGATCCTGATGAGTGACCTACAGAAGGAAGGATTTGTACTGACCTGTGGTTTGTGAATGTATTCTGCATGGCAGCAGAGGTGTGCTGAGGCTCCTCACAGAGAACAGGGAATGCTGGGACTCAGCTGGCTTCCTCCTGTTATTATCCTGATTGAGCCTCCTCTCCTCTGTTCACCACTTGAAACGACCTCAGCATCCTCAGACACTCAGCTCTGGGTGATTCCAAAGCAAACCCAGCTGACAGTGAATATTGACCATCACAGATGGTCAGATCTGTAAGTTTCCGTTAGTAGCAAGTTTGGCAATCCTATCTTCCATCCCTTCTAACCACACTAGCTCAGGAAACGGCTTTAGCAGTGCTACAGAATCAGATCAATTGAATTTTCTAAGATGTTGACATGGAGAAAAGAATTGTTGAGACCTGAAATTGACAGTGCATGATAAAACTGGTTTCTGAACATTGATTCCATTCTGATGCTAATTTTGAGAGTCGGATGACTAGATTGACAAATGCCTGGGACATAGAAAACACACTTCTCATGTTAAATAAACAAGGGCATTTCTGGATGGGAATAACTAAAAAGACCAGACATGCCATGTATGCAGGTCACACCATTCAGTATGTTACTGGGAGTGTGTCTTTAGAGCCTACATCTTCTCCTGGCCACTTCCTGTCTGTCTGCTTCCTGGCTGACCCAAGGTGAGTAGCTTCTTTCATCCACCCTGTCCCATGCAGTGACTTATCACTCACCTCTGACCTGAGAGATAGAGGCAGACCATACCCTGAAGCCATTAGCCAAAATAAGTCTTTACTTCCTCAGGTTGGCTTTCTTGTCATAGCAAGAAAAAGCTGAGATGTCCAGTAGCACCATTTACTGCACATTACTGTCCTGCTGGTAGCTTCCCATGCACTTGCCTTCAACTGTTCTGTGGAATGGCAGATAACTGTGTCCCTAAATATGTGAATTTCAGTAAGGGAAATGTCAACAGGTATGTTGCAAGAACATACAGCGCAGCTCTGTTGCTTGTCCATATGGAGTGGCCGGAATAGTGGAAAACAGATCCCATTTTGAAATAAGAATGGCCCTTACTGGTTTGATGGGGAGAAGAGAACATTCCAAAAGGAGAGACAGCAGTGGCAGAGTTTTGGGGTTTTGTGTGTTTTACACTGAGGATTGGACCTAGGATATTGTGCACACTGGAGAAGAGCTCTACTACGGAGCTGTATCTCCAACACTACTGTTTTAAAAGTAAGTGCATGATGTCATGATCACAGATCTTCTAGTCAGACATTATAAAACTGGTCTTCTCTAAGGGTCTTTTCTATGTGTGTGTGAGGTATATGTAAATTTTCCACTGTGTGTGTGTGTGTGTGTGTGTGTGTGTGTGTGTGTGTGTGTGTGTGTGTACACGTGAGTGTGGAGGCCGGAAGTTGACATCAGGTGTTTTCCCAGCTAGCACTTCACCTATTTACTTACTTTTTTCTTATTTGAGACAGCCTCTGGGTGGATCTGGACTTGAATGATTCAGTTCTGCTGGCTGGTCAATCTGTTGTGGTAATCGTGACTCTGTGATTTTCCTCCCTCCAGTTCTGTGGCTTCACATGTGCGTCACTGTGCTGACCTGGGTAGATTTCATCAGTTCCTTGAGGCGGCTGTCCTCATGTGAGCTATTGAGGAGCCTTTGTACTCACCGCACTAGGAATTTGCACTAAATGTATGTAGACTGTGTACATTGGGGTTACTGTTTGACCAATTCCTGTTTGTTTATACTTGTTAGAAGCTCCCATTGTGTATTACCAATCTAGTGATGGGTGCACCTCTTATCAGAAATCGTGCAATTTAGACTCAAAACAACAGGTCTCTAGTGTAATTTGCTCCCAAAACACACATCTTGGCTTACCCCTTCTTTCACTTTATGCAAGACTCAAGTGCCACTCCCTTAGAGGTAGGCTTCCTGTCCAACTCACCTACTTTTAAATGTTATTGTACAAGGTATTATGTATTTATGTCTTCTATTTTTGTTTCTTTGTTTTATCGTTGTCTGAAGGATGTCATGTCTTTGTGATGATAACAAAAGGGATGCTTGATTTCCTGTTGTTTCTTCAGAGCCCTGATTAAGGCCTAACCCAGAGCTCTCAAAAGTATTTGATGTATATTTGAATGATAAGTGTTGAATACTAAAGCTACCCTGGTGACGGTATGCTATTAAATACTAGACTCAGGGTTGGAGCTCTTGGAGAGTTTGTGCTTCTCACACTTATTTGGTATAACATGGCCACACAGATTGATTATCTTATTCTTTGAACAGATTTGTCAGTGCACCAGAAATACAGGCTGAAGTTCTCTTTTCTTTTTTTTTTTTTTTTTTTTTTTGATTTTACAAGACAGGGTTTCTCTGTATTGTTTTGGAGGCTGTCGGTCCAGCCTGGCCTCGAACTCACAGAGATCCGCCTGCCTCTGCCTCCCGAGTGCTGGGATTAAAGGCGTGCACCACCACCGCCGGGCTGGGGCTCTCTTCTTTAAACCACTGTTGCCATGTTCTGGGTTCTTTCTCTTTGGGGGGGACTGTCTTTATTTACCCCCTCCTCTGCTTCTGGGCCTGTTTTCAAACCAACACTTGCTTTTCTCTCACCAATGCTTCTGGGGTCCCCATTTCCTCAGTGGTTTCCTACCTAATACAGTTATAGCTAGGAAGGGCCCCTGTATGTGAGAAGATTAGTTTGAATTATTTAAAGGTATAATAACCCCACTACTGTCCCTATAATTGGTTGACCCTGTTTGCTTAAGTTATTATATAATGCAGTATTTGCTATTGGTAGTTACACGGCAGAACTTATTTATTTACTCTGTTTTTAAACTATCAACAAAGAACTTTAACTTACTTGATCAAATAAGACACGTTAGAAAAAATATCCTTAGGTAATATTGCTAGATTATCTAATGTGAATTTAAAAGTTATTTTAGTATTAGTAAAGAAAAAGTATGTATGCATATATACTATATAATCATCCTTTATAAGCCAAGAATTGTGGTAGATATAATAAACTGAATGAAATCTAGCTCCCTTATGAGCATCACACTGGGAGATGAGGTTGAGACAGACAAGTCCTTTTCTTTCCAGTGTTTTGCTATCCATGGCTCGGGTTATCTGTGGTCATCTGCTCCATGATCATCCTGCTGACCTATTGTCAGAACAGTAGTAGCCTAAAGCTGGGTTACAGTGCCTATCGGTAATCTCACTTCCTCTTATGATGTAGGCCTTGTGTTATCTCACACAGTTATCACAAGAAAGTTGAGTAAAGTTCAATAAGAGAGGGGCAGAACCACATTTATATAACTGTTGTTATGGAATATTGCTCTGTTATAAATCTCTTATTTGGAATTATAAGCTAATCTTTCTGTTGAGCATATGTATACATCGGAAAGTATCATATATGTAGAGTTCAGAGCTCTCTATTGGTTCGGGCATTCTCTGAATATGTTGGAACATATTTCATAAATAGGTGGACTTCTCTGGCTTGGCAATACCTTATTCCGTGTTCTCTGTCAGAGATTGCTTCCCATCAGTATATGAAGGGGAGTGAACTTATTCATGTATGGTGGACTGAAGACCGTGGTACTGTAGCTGTGCGAAGGGTAAGTGTAGAAGACAGTGCTGGAGATGAGGCTGGCCAAGTAGAGTGACTAGGAACTGGACTATGCTCAGACCTACTGACTCAGGCCTGTAATTCCAGGCTAAGGCAGGAGGAGTACAGGTCAGCCTGCCAACTCAGTAAAACCATGTTTCAGGTTCATAAAAGCACAAAGAAGGCTAGTGATAGAGCTCTGTGGTAGAGCCCATGCCTAACGTGTAAATTGCTAGGTTCAACCACTAGTAGAAAAACATCAAAAGATACATATTATAAAGAACCTCATGGTACCTGGTAAGTGGATGCTGTGCAGCTTTGGGATGGAACATGGGTGTTCAGAGCCCTTACAGGAAGAGGATACCATATTTGGAAAGTCTAATTAAAGCAAACCATCCATCTGCCATATCTGGGAGAACCTGGGGTTTTGTGCTTGTTGGCTTGTGAAAGTTCAGCTTGATGGTGAAGGCTGGAGGTTATTACAGAAATATAGGGCAGATGAGATGATGGCTCCAATTGCCAGTCAGGGGTGTAAGGTCTCGGTAGCATGGGTGCTGACATGCCTACATGCTTTGTCTAAACTGTGAAAGTTGGCTTTCCTTCTTCCTGCGTGATGACTGTGTGATGCAGGGTGCCGTAGATGGGAGTCTAGAAATCCCTTCTTGTTCACTTACTTCTCAAAGTGGCAGAAGCAATGGAGGGAGACTGGTGTGGCTGTGCCTCCTGCCTCAGCTTCATTAGTTGGTTGATTGGAGGGAGGTTGTTGTGCCGTCTCTCTCTTCACTACTTTCCTGTGATGTAGCACGCTTTGACAAGACTTGAGCACGGCATTTGCCCAGGAGAAACATGGATACTCAGGGGATACTAACAAGTCTGTGCTGGCCTTTCCTCGTCACTGTGTGACCACTTGCCTTTGTCTATCCAGGTATCTGAACGGTGTGGAGAAAAACGGAGCAGCCCCTGTGCTCCTGGAGCTGGCCAATGAGGTAATGTTATTGTTATGATTTTATTTAAACCTAAGGGGCCTTTTGAGAGCAGTGCTGCTCAGAATTTTAATTAACTTAAAAAAAAGGAAAGATTTTGAGGTGTGTTAGACATTTAAATTGCTCCCTGGTCCCTTTGTACTTTTAATAATTGGACAAAGAACTTCACGAATTAATAAATCAGTTGACATAATTAGTATACTTCTTTTAAGGCAAATGTACAAACAGCTTCTTTGCTTCTTACTTTGTGGAAAATTTCAACCAAACAGCTCCGAACATGCTCTTAGGATTGGCTGCCTTAATTTAGCATGAGAAATACCTACATCAAGTAAAGAGATGCGTGCCAAGAAAACCTATGATAACTATTATCAAAACAAAGTGAGAAATTTTATATTAAAAATATATCACTTACTTGATTCATTTTTTTGTAAACTTTTGTTACAATAAAGGATACAAGCCTATGGAAAAGCACCTTCCCATAAAGAAACATAATATTCTTATTAACACCAAGTATGAAGTGATTTATGGAACTTACTTGTTAACTCTGATCTGCTCCTGTGTGGGGAAACAGCTAACAGCCTAGCATTTTCAAAAGGAAACCCTGAAGATTTCCTGTGAGTGAAGAAACAGCAGAAAGTTCACAATAGTTGCAGAGAGCCTACCGAAAAATAAAATATTTAATTCCTAAACTCTAAAATATTTATCCACTGTAATGAGAGCAATACAGTATTGAGTCTGAGTGGAATGGCTTATGCAAACCTCATAGGGACGGCATGAAATGCACACTGTTTCTCTGTTGTGTTATAATGGGAAACAGAGAGGCAAGGCAGAAAATGTGTGTTTGCATTAAAGATGACTCTGTGCCATGAACATTAAGCGTTGCAGGAGCAGCAAGTACTGCATGCTGCATTAGGAAGGAAGGATGGCTTCTCTTGCAGCTCATGCCTGCTGCACACTGCTGCAGTCAGCAGAAGAGCAATTACCCATCAGTTACAAGATGGTTTTAATCGTCTGGGAAGCATCACAAGCTGATAGGGTGGCTAACACACAGAACAGTTTTTCCTGTGTCTTATTTCCTTACGTCTAGAACAGGGTGGGAGCTAAAGATCTCCAGGCATTTTGCTGCTGTTGTTTTAAGTTGCCACTCTTAGTGACTTGCGGTACCTGAGCACGAAGTAGAATTTTAGGGATTATCTTCTGCTGAAGAGAGGAGGGAGCTAGGAGCATTGTAGGTGCATCTGGGAAAAAGTGATGCAGTTGTAGAGCTTGCTTTTACAGATGATCACATTGACGGTGGAAGTTCTCTAAAGTAGCACTTTATATTCATTTGAATGTTACTTTTAAAAAAGATGTATTGTTATTTTTTTTGCATATGGATGTTTGGCCTGCTTGTATACCTGTGTACCTTGTCTGTGCCTGTATTAGGAGGCCAGAGGAGGGTGTCAGATTCTCTGGAACTAGAGTTACAGATGGTTTTAAGCCGCCACCTGAGTCCTGGGAATCAAACCCAGGTTTTAGGGAAGAGTAGTCAGTGCTCTTAATCACAAAGTCAACTCTCCAGCTGCTCATTCGAATTTTTAATGGATACTTCTGTTGAGCTTAGTTTATGGAATTGATTTCAGCTTCTACCTTTTAACTGTATGGAAAAATCTGACCCATCACCATGTATTTCCCTACATCAACAAGTCTTCTATTTGCCATGACTATATAGCAATATTTAGCCTCCACCGAAGAAATAGTGGCTTAGAGATTTTACCCCCTTTCTTTTTGGTGCCCAGTTAGTGCAGAGGAACAACTTTGCATGAGATTACTAATGCATTAGGGTAATTTGGAAATGGTGGGTACCAGATTATGGCTTCTAAACATCCAGGCTCCCATGTTTATATGCTAGTTAATACTTAAAGGACATACGCTTATATCTGGTGGCAAGTGATGTGATGGTAATATTTTATGAGTCAATATATATTTAATCAGTGGAAACTGTAAAAATTGATGAGAAATGTGTAGCTTGTACATTGTGTTGTGCAGCAACTCTCCTCTTTTACAAAAGCACTGTGTTATTGTTGATTTGGGTGGAATAAGGGATCTAGGTAGCCATCATTGGTTTCATAAATGTCTTAATACCATTTTTCTTGATCAAGCCTGAAAATGAACATTTTAGGAAATCTCATTCTGTTAGTGATTATATGATCCGTCATTCTGTTCCCTCCACACAAATATTTTCAAGTTACATTTGAAGCACTATGAATTTTACTTACATGCTAAATTCTGACATGAAGCATGATGGCCCTATTTCAGAGCAAGATGGACACATGATTAATATGAAAATTAGAGAGATGCAGGTACCTGAACTAATAAGGTAGTCCTTATTCAGGCTGGACTACCTTCAGTAATTTCACCATTTTTCATGTGTCAGCCCTGATGTGGGTTACTACGAATAAGCAGCTCCGTGGAAAGCATTTCTTTCTACTTAGGGAATGTAAGGGCATCCAAGTACATACATATTTGAAAAAAGAAAACTGTTCATACAAATGAAGCTACCCTCTTTGTCTAGTTACTAAATCAAGATAAAATTTTGGTGTGAGCATGGGACTTGAATACCTGTCAAGAAAAATTCCTAGTGATAATATATGAGGAATATTTCCCATTTTACACTCAGTATAAAAAGGCTCCTATTAGGGAGGCATCATTGTCCTTAGAAAACATACATATTTCCTGGTAAAATTAATCAATGGTTAATGAATAATCTGAAAAAGAAAATACTTTTACAAATGAGTAGGCAATTTATTATCATCATCATCAACTATGGCGACTGCTTTGCTGAGTGTTCTTTGTTTTCTGTTTCATTCTCTATTTAAAAGTAGATTCACTTTCTGGGCTTTGAATTTGCTAAATTGATCAGCAGTATTTCAGACCAAACTTAGTATGCTAATTTATGCTGCAGATGTTATTATTGTTGTATTTTATTCTTACTATCTCTGCAAAGTAGTTTCTTTTCTTTTATCATGTAACATTTTGTTTGTAAAGAACTTATAACAAGTCTCAGTGGTCTCTAAAGATAAAATGAAATCAGTAAAAAATCCATATTTTTAATGATTTGGACATTTGATTTAGTTTTTGAAAAGTGACTAAATAGTTTTTTCAAATTTGAAATTGAACTCAAACTAATAAGTCTAAACTTTGGTTAGAAAGTGGGTTCTAGAGTAGAGAGCAATATGACCAACAAAAATTGAGACAAGAAGTGCTTATTTGCCTGTCTTAGGTAAGTATTGTTTCCAGGTTGTCCCACCTTTGCTGGTTCCAATGTTGAATTCTGTAAATGGCCCATCTATTTTTTTCAGCAGTACAGATCTTCATACAATCTACTACAATGGAAGCCACC